GAAGAAGAAGAAGAAGAAGAAGAAGAAGAAGAAGAAAAAGAAGAGGAAAATGAAGAAGCATAAGAAGAAGAAGTAAAGGAACCGACGAATGGCAATAACGACATCCGAAACAGCAATGATGGTGTTCACAACAATGACAACAATGTCGACAAAGATGAAGACAGAGAAAACACGAGAGAAAGTACAAGAAGAAGACGAAAAAAGAACAATGGCAATAACCGAAAGTATACACACGTATAACCTAAGGATATACACAAGATTAGAGTTCCTCATGGTAAAAACTATCATCCATCAATCATCGCTGTATTTATCATATAAGCGGTGAACCTTGTGATGGTAACGTCGGCCTTATGGAAGACATCGAGGGCAACTTTTGCTGACTTTTCACTCGCTCCCGTGTCTACGTCGTAGCTGGTCGTGAGCGTCTCCATCGTGAAGGTGAACTGTCTGTCGTCACGCAGCGTGGACGTGTCAAACCTTATCGTGAGCGTCGCCTGCACAGGAAACGTCGCCCAACGTCACGTGATCCACTGACTGGCAAACTATGCACGAAGGGCATTCATGTGAACGGGCGCTTCTCGTTGTGTCGTGCTACATTGCAGCGTTGCTTGATTAGATATGATGTGTTGTAAAATGTTTTGTATTGTAAATGTTTTGTATGTTTTGTATATTAAGTATTAAACGTTACGCCAATTCAGTATTAAGCAATACTAAATTTATTATTCAGCATGTTATTATATTATATTCATTTTTAGGTATATGATAATATTTTTTGTTAGCTATTATGTAAAGTCGTGTATATGCGCGGGAGGTTTAGTGAACGTGGCATCTCACAAGCGTGAGTCTTCGTGAGAGTCTAGCGGGCTAAAGTGAAGCAAGTGTAAAGAGCTAAAATAGCGGTTTTCGTCGTATGCATACCGAGGCGTCGAAGGGAAGCGGATTGGCTATCTCACACACCAGGCCACGCCCTCGTCCCGTGACGTCAGGATTGGCCTGGCAAGCGTACTGAGACTGAAAAAGCAGCGGTAATCAAAAATCGTATAAAGCTAAGTAGTAGTAGTATAGTAAATAAAAGTAAACGGAAATAAACGAAAATATAATTTAGTTTTAAGAATGTTTTGTTATCTCTAGCACTAGTGGGCATTCTGACGTTATACATGATGACCCTTCATGACCTTGACCAACACGTTAGCATGTGCCAGCCACTACCGTGTGGCCAAGCGCGTCCATACAGATGGGCTCTAGCATTTAGTTGTAGAAAACACAGTAAAATCCGTTGTTACAACCTTTATTGGTTTTAAAATTCGCGTGATTTTGACCGACATTCCGACAATTACACGATTACACTTACTACACAAAGGTACACGAGAATGGTTTACTGAAATCGGTTCACTGAGTTCACTGAGTTTCAATGAAATGGTTTATACGTCTGTCACTAGATACGCATACAGTTCTGTATTTGTGTATTGAACTTGGTTCCACTACGATATATTCCCACGGAAACCTACAGGGTCCGATCCGATGAAAGACGCAGCACTCGTGTAGTAACCTTCGATCTTGGTTTGATGAGCGCTTTCTCCACGATTGGTGACAGTTATAGTGAAGGAGATGTCGTTGTTTATTCCTGGGACGAGGTACGGTCTGTGAGTAAAATTATATTACGTTTATTATGTATTTACAAGACTATTCACATTACGTTATCAAGAATGTACTCATTTAGTCTCACATTTCTGGCAATAAACAGTCGAACATGACAGAAAACCTAAAGAAACGAATGACACTGAAAATAACATTGCCAGTGCCGACGTTACCTGTCAAGACTTCTGTCAATAAAAATCGTTATATTTATTACCTATTGCGCAGTGCGTGCGTAGGTTCCTGAGCGCGTGAGTGCGTGCGTGGGTGCGTGAGTGAGTGCGTGCGTGCGTGCGTGAGTGCGTCCCTGTGTGCGTGAGTGCGTGCGCGCGTGCGTGCGTGCGTGCGTGCGTGCGTGCGTGTGTGCGTACATGCCTGAGTAATTACAGATATAACGTGTACACTATCTACTAACTTACTCGTTAAAGTCAGACTTCATCGTAATACTGAGGTCCGATGTGCAGTTGTTATCATCGCCGCACGCATGCGCGAAGCCCAGCTAAAATTAACAGCAATGCATTTATTAAAGATGGCAGCCGAAAACATCACCTACCGCCATGAGTCCTCGTGACATTAAACAACCATAATTATATCAGGAGTGAATAATAGAGAATCTCTATTATTCACTCCTGATTATATCTCCTAATGCTTTTGTGCTGTTATAATTCATTGTAATTATTCAGCATGAATATGTAGAGAATTAACTACGTGAAACGCTCTAACGCTATCGCTGAGAATCTGTCGACTGTTGTACACAAATCTAATGTGAAAACTCGGTTATTTTAACCAAACATTCATTCATTGTACAGGTCTGAAGGTTTAGCATTAGCTACATATGTCTGTAGGTTTACAGAGTGGTTTAGAGTAAGTATACCAGCTCTAGCACGTGCACGTTGTCGTCTGCGCTGATGACGGGCGGTAGAGGCAGCACCGTCTGCCGTCTCCGCCGCCGTGCCGTGACGTCATCGATGATGTCATAATCGAGTGAGAATGACAGCGGCGTAATCTTATCCTTGATGTTCGCCTGCAAGCAAAACATGAGATTCACAAGCCATTCGTCAGTTAGTGTGAATACAGACTGTCGTATCACAGCTGTCTGATAGTTTATGTCCCCTAGTATGATATGAAAAATGTTGTGTTGGCATACATATGGATAGAACTCCCCGACTTCTGTGAAGATATCAATGCATCGATGAATTTGAATAGTATGGTTTAGTACAGGGGTGCAACTACAGCCGTTCACGTTAGGTAATTATTGTTGGGTGGTTCATTAAAGTGATTATACTCATGATCACCCTAGTATCGGAGAACGTATGCGACATTCTAAAGTAATCAAACTTACCGTTGGTAGCAGGGAGTTTATGCGACATTCTAAAGTAATCACACTTACCCTTAGTAGCAGGGAGTTCATGCGACATTCTAAAGTAAGCACACTTACCCTTAGTAGCAGGGAGTTCATGCGACATTCTAAAGTAATCACACTTACCCTTAGTAGCAGGGAGTTCATGCGACATTCTAAAGTAATCACACTTACCCGTTAGTAGCAGGGCAGTTCTATTGCGAGATTTCTAAAGGTAAGCAACACTTACCTTAGTCAGCAGGAGTTCTATGCCAACATTCTACAATAATCACACTTATCCCTTAGTAGCTCAGGAGTTCACTGCGCATTCTAAAGTAATCACACTGTACGCCTTAGTAGCCAGGGAGTTCATGCGACATTCTAACGAGTAATCACACTTACCCTTAGTAGCAGGGAGGTTTCATGCGACTTCTAAAGTATCACACTTACGCCTTATGTGGCAGGGAGTTCATGCGACATATCTAAAAGTAATCATCACTTACCCTTAGTGAGCAGGGAGTTTCTGCGAGATTCCTAAAGTAAGCACACTTACCCGTTAGTAGCAGGGCAGTTCATGCAAATTCTAAAGTATATCCAACTTACCCTTTAGTGCAGAGAGGTTCATGCGACATTTCTTAAAGGTAATCACACTTTACCTTTAGTTAGCCAGGGAGTTATGCAACATTCTAAGTAATCACGACTTACCCTAGTAGCAGCGGAGTACCATGCGACATTCTAAAGTCAATCACACTCACCGCTTAGTACAGGGATCGTTCATGTCAGACATTCTGAATGTAATCACACTGTACCCTTTGGTAGCATACGAGTTCATGCGACATTCTAAAGGTAATTCACATTCACACCTTTGGTTAGCAGGGAGTTCATGCGAGATTCTAAAGTAAGCACACTTCGCCCTTAGTTAGCAGGGCCAAGTTCATGCAACATATCTAAAGTAATCACACTTTACCCTTAAGTAGCAGGAAAGTTCATGCGACATTCTACAAGTAATCACACTTACCCTTGTAGTAGCAGGGAGTTTCATTGCGACATTTCTAAAGCTTAAATGCACCACTTACCCTTACGTAGCAGGGATTCATTGCGCACATTCTAAAGTAAAATCCACACTTACTCCTTGGTAGCAGGAGCTTCATGCGACATTCTAACGTAATGACACCTTACCTCTTGGTAGCTAGGATGTTCATGGCGCGAGATTCTAAATAGCAGCACTACCCGTAGTAGCCAGGTGCAGTCATGCGACATTCTAAAGTAAGCACACTTACCCGTAGTAGCAGGGAGTGTATGTCACATTCGAGCGTTTCTTTGGCGAGTTTGACAACTCTTTTCACTTGCAGTGATGAGCGATTGTTTTCGAAGAAGAAACCTCTATTCGTGCTAGCAGCAACGATAGCAAGCGTGTACTGAATCTCTGCAATGTGATCGAAGTACTAAGTTAAGTTTGTCTTTAGGGATGCGCTTCTACATGGTCTAATCTGTGATGAATATTGAATAGTGACGCTCTTACCTAGGAAGCGTTATAAGAGATGAGCCTGCACATATTATGGGGGGGGGGCTATTTCGTGATTTAACCGAATAACGACGAAAGTGTACATTGATTTGTAAAGATTTGAATAAACGAACCAGCTGTAAGGTGAGATAGGGCCGAAGCAGTGAATTTACGCTAAGATTTATTAGGTTTATTCTAAGATTACTACCATTTATTAGACGCGTATTCATTTTTGTCCAAATTCTAAGTGGGCAGCTAGGTCGGTCGGTCGGTCGGTCGGTCGGTCGGTCGCTGTCGTCGGATCGCGTCGGTCGCGTCGGTCGGTCGGTTCGGTCGCCGTCAGCTTGGGTCGGTCGGTCGGTCGGTCGGTCGGTCGGATCGGTCGGTTCGCGTCGGTCCGAGTCGGTCGGTCGGCTTCGTCGCGTCGGTCGTGTCGGTCCGGTCGGCTCCGCGTCGGTCGGGTCCGCCGTGTCGGTTATGTCGGTTCGGTCGGTCGGCCTGTCCGTCCGTCGGTCAGCCGGTTAGTTAGTTAGTTGTATAATGTTCTAGTTTCGGGCCTTACTTGTGCTAGCAGGCACGTGCGCTCCATCGTAGTAGAAGCAGGCAGACACGCGCACGCACGACACACGCTCTCCATCCGCGTTAACACAGTCGGCCACGTTTGTCTGGATCTGCGCCGGATTGAACCGGATGTTGGCCGACGTCCGGATGACGGGTCGCGTGCGCAGTAGCACGGCGCTGTCCGACTGGTACGCGCCGATAGCGACATCTACCGGCAGATTTACACTCGTTATAAAGCAGACGAAGTAAGTAAGCATGCAGTCATACAAAATGAAAAATTATATTTAAAAAAAGCCATGGTTCTATCTATCTCACATGCACACACATACTCACACACACTCGCACCGCACACAAACGCACGCACGCACGCACGCACGCACACAAACGCACGCACGCACGCACGCACGCACGCACGCACACACGCGCACGCGCGCGCGTTCTCGCTTTCTCTCTCCCACCCGCGTTATCCCAGACTCTATGGTTTAATACATCGTCTGTGCTATAGCTACCTTGGTAACGGTGCATTAGATTTCATATATCGTCTGCGCTAGTTACCTTGTTAACGGTACACTAGATCCCATACATCGTTTTCCCTGGTTACCTGGGTAACGGTTATCATCGACGTCCATACTCCGTGAGATGCTCCATCCGAAGCCACGAAGCCCGTCGGCGACGGACGCTGCGGCGATGCGCTGCGAGTGCTGCGGATAGATGCCCGCTACGTAACCCCGGTAGATGTAGACGACGCCGCGACCGTCGTCCTCGTACGGCGCCGACACGGCGACGTCCCGGAAGCCGTCAAGGTCAAGGTCACCGACGCCGGCGATCGTCGTGCCGAAGCGTGCGTAGCTGCTGCGGCTTCCGCGCAGCTTGTAGTCGGTCTCCAGGAGCGGGTCGCCTGCTCTGTGTCCCTGCGTAGCGTGGATAGGGGAACGGTGTTGCGGCGCCGCTCTCTCCACCCTCATCCACCCACCCACCCCAGGTTATAGAATTCATCTCCTACATAAATGGCCGGATCTGTCTGTCTGTCTGTCTATCTGTCTGTCTGTCTGTCCGTCTATCTTCTCAAGACCCGTAAGAGGTGACCCCCAACACCATATATATATTCTGAATCAGCATGACGCCACGACCATTTTAGGAACTCCACTTTTTTGTAGGTAAATAATATTTATTTATTTACCTAGGTTTATATATTAACCTGCATCAGCCGTGGCTCCACAAAGGCCAAGCTGTTCCAAGAGTGCAAGCTCATCATCTGGGACGAGGCAACCATAAGCCACAAAGGCGCCTTTGAAGCACTCGACAAGACCCTACAAGACCTTCGGCACAACACAAACGTCATGGCAGGTGTGACTGTCCTGCTCTCAGGCGACTTTCGCCAAACCTTGCCAGTCATCGCCAAAGGAACAAGAGCAGATGTTGTCAATGCCTGCATCAAGTCCTCCTACCTCTGGAGCAAGGTGAACCGCCAGAGCCTAAAGACCAACATGAGGGTGCAGCTCAGCGGCGATAAAGAAGCTGGCCGCTTCTCTCAGCAACTGCTGGAGGTCGGCAATGGCAGACTCACCACCGCAGCTGATGGCCAAGTCAAGCTGCCATTCGGCAAAGCAGCGGCGGACATCACCCAGCTGATGACCAAAGTCTTCCTAAACCTCCACCTACGCTACCAAGACCAAGACTGGCTGAGCGAGCGAGCCATCCTTGCTCCCAAGAATTTGGCCGTAGATGACATCAACGCCAAGCTGCTGGAGCAACTGCCTGGCGACCCAACGAGCTACAGGTCGATGGACACAGTTCTTGATCCTAACCAGGTGGTGCACTATCCGACCGAGTTTCTCAACAGCCTCGCGCCCTCAGGTCTGCCACCACACAACTTGGTGTTCAGAGTCGGCGCGCCCATATTGGTAATGCGCAACCTGGATGCTCCCAAGCTCTGCAACGGCTCACAGTCAAGCAGCTCATGCCCAGAGTCATCGAAGCCAAAATCATAGCAGGCAAGGGCAAGGGCGAAAATGTCTTCATCCCAAGGATCCCGGTCATCCCACCAGACCTGCCATTTGAGTTCAAGAGGCTGCAGTTTCCAGTCAAGCTGAGCTTTGCCATGTCTATCAACAAGGCTCAGGTCCAGTCCTTCAAGATGGTTGGACTCAACCTCAGTCAGCCAGTGTTCTCCCATGGCCAGCTCTGTGTGGGGTGCTCCAGGGTGGGTAACTCAGACATCCTCTACATCCTCTCTCAAGATGGCAAGACCAAGAATGTTGTGTACCAAGAAACGCTGCAGAACTGAACAGAAGTGAAATTCTTGGGACAGATTTATAAAATCCGAATAACATCAGTACAGCCGTTATGGCAGACTAAATTTTAGCTCTTTTCTCCTTTATCCCGGGCATCGCCGTGTAGCCCAGCTAGTGTTCGTATAAAGTCATAGTTATAGTATGTTCGTATTATATAAGTAAATAATATAAATTCGTTTTATAGAATGCTGTTTTGTCGTATTTCGTGTTTCATATCGGCGTTTATTTAACCTGTTATTACTGTTATTATTATTATTATTATTATTTGCTTAATTTATTTATAATTATTATGTGCTCTTATCATTATTATCTATTATTACTTGTCTATCGCTACCTATGTTTTTTCACATAGAGATTTTAGGGTTTGATAATTTGGATTTAATAGGGAATTTTATAATAGGGTAAGGAGAATTAATTAATTGTGAAGTTTATCATTTATGCATCGTGGTATAGAATAACAAGCACGTCTGATTTAAATGGGGTAGTGCAGTGAATCAAAGCCCCATAGATCAATCGTCCATCTGTCCGTCCGTACGTGCGTCTGTCTGTTTATACATTTGTCTGCTCGTATATGACATATTTCTCGCTTGTCTCCATAATCTATACTCTCCATGACCTAGGCTAACTCTCCAACAAGCACCTAAATGTAATGCGGGCGAAACCGATGACGATTTCGGATGAGATGTGAAACCCAGTATGGCTTCATCTGGAGCTGTGACACTGACAGTCTGACTACGACCCTTACCTGATTCATGTAGACATAGGCACAGCCTTCATCGACCGTATTCTCCTCGTAATAGAACGGAGCACCGACGATGAGGTCATCCAAGCCATCTTTGTTAATGTCGATGGCCGCCACGGCGGCGCCAAAGTACTCTCCGCTGACCGCGCCCACTTTCTTGATGAGGTACTTGAAGTCGTCGTAATAGATGTACACCTAGAATAAAGAGAAATTCGATGTGAACTACGCATCTGTGGGCGCATTTTTACTCTAGTCTCCGCCTTGCTACAGTTACCTCAGAGACGTTACAGGACGGATAGCAGCGAAAACATCTGCCATTTGTTTGCGAATAAACTTATGCTTATTAATGTTATTCGTGCGGACATTATTGAGTACATTGTCTGGGCCTTTACTGTGAGTGATGATTCTTATAACTATTGCTCTACTCCTACTGCTGTTGTTGTTCGTGCTGCTGCTACTGCTACTGCGACGCTGTGGTTGTTGTTGTTGTCGTTGTTGTTGTTGTTGTTGTTGTTGTTGTTAGTTACTGTTGCCGTTGCCGCTGTTGCTTCTACTGCTACTGCTACTGCTATTGCTGCTGTTGTTGTTGCTGCTTTTTCTGTTATTGCTGCTGCTGTTGTCCTTATTGTTATCGTCGATGACAGTTTTGTCGTTTCTACATTTGCTAGTTCCTCTGCTGCACAGTCTACTTGCCTCTCCCACGAACGAGCTTCTCCGAGCCCTGGGAACTCCTACCACGTTGAGCACCTTCTTGTCGGGAAAGAACACGCCGGAGGAGATGTCGTAACCTAGGAAGCTTCCCTCTAGAAGTTCGTGTATGAGAGGCACAACGGTGTCCGATCTAGGGGATCGCATCTCAACGACGGAACCTGTGGTATGATATAGTCACAGTAGATTCACTCGTTAATGAGGGGGAGGCATGGTCTCGCATTTACAGGTACGCTCAGATCCGATCACAACCCAGCTGACGTCACTGATTGAGTGAGAGCCAGGGCGCGGGAGGCTTCAGCCGTCAGATTACAACACATGTTGTTATGCGAGCAAACTGCATGCTACGCCACTCAACACCAGCAAAATGATATGCAACGCCACGCAACGCCGGCAAAATGCAATGCAACGCCACGCAACGCCGGCAAAATGCAATGCAACGCTGTGCCTTCGCAAACATGGACAGATTGTATCTCTTTAATAATAGCGGGCACAGTCTGGCTTCTATACCTGCTCCCAGGGTGTTAATAGTGTAATATAACGATATATATTTGTGACGATGATGAAAATATGACGATAGTGTAACGTATGACAAGTAAATGAAAGTGCGGACTTCCATCAGACGATTGGCGCGAGACTCAATGATCCGTACATGCGCGGCTGAAAATATAAGACCTTGTGCAAACTTCTGCTCTTTTCGTGGGGGGCGGGGGACAGTTGGCGTGGCGTTGGGTCCTGGCCAGAGAGACTTAAAAGTGCCTGAGAGCACCTAAATGCCAGACTGTGTCTATTTATTAAAGAAGACACAATCTGTTTCATTGCGTAGTTTTCGAGGGTAAAGAAGAAATGCAATTCGGTTAGTTTTTTGCATGTACGATAACCTTGAAGCAACCTTGGTTCGTTTATTGTACTTGTACTTGAAGCGCGTGAATGCTATAATTAATTGCTGCTCGTTTGATATTCAGTTTTGCATGACGTCAAACCTATTTCAGCGCGCGCACGCCATGTTTTTACCTGACGCATAATATAATAAGCGTACTTATACTGAGTGCATGCCTGCGCGCAATATATCGTACTAAAGTAATAATAACTAAGAACTTCGGAGAGCGCATGCAGATCACTCCCCAGATGGCGAGCCAGTCTCTCGCACGTGAAAATATTTTATTAATTAAATTCATTTTATTGTGCAGCCCGGATCACCACCAAACTGATTCAATTCCTAGACTTGTATCCTATTGTCTGACCTATCCTGGAATATTTTATGACAATCGTACCATAACTTTTTCAGTTAGGCTGCTACACACAAACCCACAACCCACCAAAGACTCACAAAAACAAATCAAAACAGTCAAACCACACCGCGGTTGAAAACATAACCTCCTGCCAACCCCTTGGCGGAGGTAAAAAGACACCGGTGTTTGTATACACACCTGTTTGCGACCATACACCAGGGGCCGCCAGCAACAGTCTCATGTCATCGGTTTGAGATGTCTGGAACAAGCGGAATTAGCGGGGTGGGTGTGACGTCATGATGTTACTAGATACGTCGCTAGGAGGCGCCCCCAACGTTTACATCTTTAGCCGCAGGAGTGTGATATATGTTTACGTCATACTGTGAAATTCCCGATACTCTATTTACACCCCGCATAACAATGAGACATCACACAGCAATCGAACTGATCTATCTGCCTAGGCGAGATAACCACATAGCTTAGATATTGTCGCTAGGTGGGACCCGCTCACCCGGCCTGTACGCTGTTATACACGAGAGCACGCCAAAATGTCAACTTTACGGCACTTCGTTGCCAAGCATTGTTATTAGAACATACTATCGCGATAATGATTGGTCACAACTACGTATTAATTACTCCAGTAGAATAGATCAACTAAATATATCAAAGATTTTATCCTAAATCACGGCGATATTTATCTATAGCGCATGGTGGTAGAACTACGGTATAAGGACAGGAAAGGCAGCTCATAGAGCGTCATTTCACTGGTTGACAGAAACACTCCCATTAATTTTGTCATGTGTTGTTATGTAACGTACACAAACGTAATGCATATGGCAATCCATATGCATTATATTAGAATGGTTTCTTACTAATATAGTCATTTGCAATGCATTCGTATGCTTGAATGATGTAATTTTCCTGGAATATATGACGTCAGTGGAGGAAATATTTGTCTTCCGGGCCAAAATGGCCGCTTTGGCTTTCCTGGTCTAACTTTCTGATGCGTGTTGGGCAACATATGTTAGCACAGCTACTACAGTAAGGCGCTGTTGTTTAGCTATAGTATATCTAGCAGTCATCCTTACAGCGTTGGTCAGGTAATGAACTGTCATGCCTGTAAGACCACTTCCGTATCGATATTCTCCATCTACAATCTGATAATCTGAAAAATAAGAAAGCCTACCATAAGCTATGTTGGCGTGAATATGTTTGCCATTAGATATAAATCTTGAACAACAACTTGGCGTTTTTTTCCTTCCACGTGTTAATCGTTGTCGTGTTCCTAACAGTGAGCGCATGTAATGCGTTTGCGTACTACTAGAGCGGCTGTACTGTCATACAATAAATCTTAGTTGCATCGCGCATTTACATACACTCAACAGTTGTCATTAAAATAAATTATTGTTTTCTTCATTATAATTTAATTACTTAAGCGCGAATTACGATCTTTATTGTTCCTTCTTTTTAAACGTTTCCTCTCTCTCTTCGCCTACATCACACGAAATCTTTACGTGAAAGGATTCTAAAACTGATGACTAAGAATACGATCAAGTTCATCTTCCCATGAAGATATCCATCGTCGGCTTGATGCTCACACACAAACCCAGAGGCAAGCGTACCTATGTTCTGCAGCGGGTGAAGGCTCCTCGTTTTGCTTTGTATCATGTCTTTAGATAGTTCCCAGCAGTAGCCGTTAATAAGGAATTCACCGTGTGACTCGAGGAAAAACTGGTTAATCCATCTGGGCGCGCATACCTGTGGAAACACAGCAAGCGTGCGATACAGCCCAACAGGCTCCCTGTCGTGACCAGCTAACACTAGTGACAGCGAAGCAACCCCTGCACGTAATCCCCGAAACCTCATCCCGATCTCTCCCAGTTGACCTTAACCCACTTCTGTAACCCTAACCCATCCGGGTGACCCTAACGTGACCCTTACACAGTAATTTGACCCTGACCAAGTAACTTGCCCCTAACCAACTTTTGTAACCCACGCCAAATTCCGTGACTCACACACTAACCCACGACCTTCATCCACTTTCGTCCATTCTCCCACCATCACGCGTCATACTGCGAACACGCCCTCGCTATGACGTCAAGAACTGGGAACACTCCCCCTGTGAACTGACAGTGACAGGATGGGAACTCTCTCCACGATGACATCGTGAACTAAGAATATTCTCCCCTATGACGTGTCATACCGTGAACACGTCTCCACTATGATGTCACGAACTAGGTATACTCCCTCTATGACGTGTCATACCGTGAACACGCCCTCACTCTGGCGTCGCGAATTGGCAACACTCCCCATATGACGCGCCATACCGTGAATACGCCCTTGCTGTCGTGGACGTCTAGTCCTGCTCCCAGCCACTGATTCTCCTTGTAACTCTTCACACGGTAGCGTCCGTTATCGAAACTACATGGTATCGCTTGGCCGAGAGAGAGGTAGCACGTGTCTCCTGTATCACAGAATGAGAAAGAAGTAGGAATATACAACTGTAGCAGGGAAAGGGGAGATGAGCGAGAACGATAGAGAGCGAAAAAGAGAGAAATAATGAAAGAATGAGAAGGGGAGACAGCGAGAGCGAGAAAATGAAAACGAGAGCGACAGCGGGACCTAAAGAGAGTAGCCGAGTGAGAGAGAGAGAGAGCGGAGAGAGAGCAAGAAAGAGAGAGAAAGAGAAAGAAAGAAAGAGAGAGCGAGGCACCATTCTTCAATGCAAAAAAACTCTCAGCTCCCACACACTTGCCACTGCATCTAACATTTCATCAACCGTGCAAACGTGCTACCCAAGCAAACTTCTCTTTACACCTTCCCCCACCCCACCCCAGCGTTAACGCCTCCCCCAGTCTTAGCGCCTCCCCCATCCCCCAGGGTTAACGCCTCCCTCAGAGTTAGCGCCTTCCCCAGCGTTAACGCCTCCCCCAGTCTTAGCGCCTCCCCCATCCCCCCAGGGTTAACGCCTCCCCCAGTCTTAGCGCCTCCCCCATCCCCCGAGGGTTAACGCCTCCCTCAAAGTTAGCGCCTTCCCTAGCGTTAACGCCTCCCCTAGTCTTAGCGCCTCCCTCATCCCCCGAGGGTTAACGCCTCCCTCAGAGTTAGCGCCTTCCCCAGCGTTAACGCCTCCCCCAGTCTTGGCGCCTCCCCCATCCTCCCAGGGTTAACGCCTCCCTCAGGGTTAGCGCCTTCCCCAGCGTTAACGCCTCCCCCAGTCTTAGCGCCTCCCCCATCCCCCAGGGTTAACGCCTCCCTCAGGGTTAGCGCCTTCCCCAGCGGTTCCTCCCCCGGTCAGCGCTACGTACCGTCACTGTCCACGAGTATTTCCTCACAGTCGCCACCGGTAACGGCGCATTTGTACAGAGCACCCGGTGTCCTAATATCGCTGGGTGTGTGCACGGAAGACGACTTCGGAGCGCCAACTAATACCCTATTAAAAAAACGATGTTTAATTAATTAATTAATTTAATTAATAATTAATAATAATTAATAATTAACGTAATTAATAGTAATTTATTAAAATTCTAACATAAACATTCCTGATACCCATCATCTACAATATGTTGTTTTAATGCACAACTGCAAAAAACTGTGACTGCTGTCGATATGCAGAATGCAAATCTTGGACATTTTGAGTGATGCGTCTTTGAAGTACTTGTCTGTCACCCATAACCCTCTGACTAATAATTGAATCTGTCAGGAGTGATAGCGTGGATTTGTATGTAATTAATATTAGCATTGGTGGCATCATTACCCGCTGATAACATCGATATCAAGAGTACATAATAGGAGATTACTCTTGATCGGTATCATAGTCGTAACACAACCCCACGGAACCCCCCGGGTGTTCATGTTTCTACCCTGCACGCACGCGCACGAGAATTCTACGCGTGTCCGCTCGATCTGATAACATATTTGTTCGCACGGTGCCCTCTGACGACTCTAGGAAGATGCGCGCATGCGTGGTGGGTACGGGACATACGCATGGGCGGACGTTGCTACATAGGTGCAGTTTGCTGTAAAGTGAAGCGGCTTGTTGGCGTGTGTGTGTTGTCTAAATGCTCGCTCGTGTTACTGTGGAGGTATAGTACCCGCGTCCGGGTGGAACCAAATATGTATTGAATGGCAATTACGCGGATTACTGCCAGCCTAACACACAATAGAACAACATCACAACGCAACAATACATAACAATACACAACAATAATACACTATTATCAATCGTGTACAACATTATACAACAATATGCAACAATATACAACATTATACAACAATATGCAACATTATACAACAACAATGCAACAGCAAAACGACAGCAGTGGTGCTATGGAGATTTACCAATAAATCGGAGATAAAATTAAGTAGAATCACGCACAATGGTCGTGCCTACACCAACTAGAACATTTCCGTGTAAAGGCGGGAATGGCGAGAACTGTACACGGGTCCATGGCGAGGATATGGAGACGTATATATATATACGCACGAGACGAGAGAAGAGTGTGCGAAAGTCAGCGAGAGAGAAATAGACATTTAACATATATGTCAGAGTTGGGTTATACCAATTCTGTAATGATTTAGTTCTTTTACACTTGATATACATTGTAACTATAATGTGCCGATCGCAAATGCCTCTACCCTCCCTTATCTTTATCTCACGCATTACATCTCCAGTTACAAACACACGCCCTGGCTCGGACAGAGCCAGGTTAAGCAACGTATAAGAGTCTTACAAACATATATACTTGGACCAGCTATAGCGCAGCCAGAATATATGGTCAATGTTAAAAGTTGATACGTGTGGTGATATACAGCATCTCAACGTGAGGTTATCTGTCAGTTGAAAGTGCCGCGATTGTCAAGTTCATTGGAGTCACTGTTTAAATCTATGCGCTATACCATTAGTAAATACTATCACGGAATAATATCAAGAATATCGAGGAATACAGGAATAGAATAAGGAGAAGGAACGTGGTTAAGTGTAGGAAAGTGGAATTGGATCATTGACATTTTGCTTTGCACAAACAGGGCTTTCATCGTAAAGTATGTTACCGGGTCTATTTTTGCAGCGGGCAAATGTGTTTGTGCAGCCGGAGTCTATCAGATAAGAAAATATGTAAGATGAAGGAGACAAGGTTATGTAGTCTTTTTTTTCCTATTAGGCGGTAGTTTTTCTTTCTTTCTCTCTGTTTTCTCTCGCTCTCCTCCACCCTTCTCTCTCTCCCCCTCTCTTTTCTCTCTCTCCCTCTTATTTCTCTCTCTCTCTCCCCCTCTCTGTCTATATCTCCCCGTATATGTCCGTCTATCTATCTATATATCTATCTATTTATCTATTTATCTATCTATCTATCTATCTATAGATATATATGTCTATTTCATAATTTCATACACACGTCTGCTTTCTCACTATCACTTACTTCCTTACTGAACGCACTTTACTGACTGCATACTGAGCACATATTGCACTATATAGCCGCTCACCACTATGCGTTACTTACCACTTTCCTTCTGTGTTCTCTAGCAGCGCCACGGTGTAACCGAAGTAGCTGTCGTTGGTCCGCGACGCGTGCACGGGTGGTCGCATGACGATAACGTCGCTCGTGTCCAAGTTAAACCCGGCGACGTCGGCAGCCAGCAGCAACCAACCGAGGCAGAGCAGCAGCAAACGCGTGCCTTCCATGGCTAGCGGGTGTCGTCTCATTGACGACAGAAAAGCACTAATTGTTCGTTGAAAGAGGAGCCGGGAGGTCCCGATCTCTCTCCGCTGGTGTGATGGTTACTTGTCACGTAAGAGTCTACTGTCTGCAATTCACCGTTAGTAGTGAGTCTAGCTTCCTCACTCGAGCATGGAGGACAGGATGGGCGAACTGACAACTCCAGGCTCTTCTGTTTCCTGTTCGGGACGTGGGCGCATGTGTCACGTCTCTGTAGCGACTGCTCGATAATTATGCAACCAGATCAGCGCGTTTGCACACCATAAAAACGCTGTGTGCCAATCTGAAACGGTTAGAAAGTCGTCGTAGCACTATAATAGATTCAGGGCGTGCATGTGTGTGTGCGTGTGTGCGTGCGCGCGCGCGTGTGCGTGCGTACGTGCGTGCGTGTGTGTGCGTACGTACGTGCGAGCCTGTGTGCGATTCAGTGAACTGGTTTTTAGTCATTTTATTCAGTTGTGAATCCTTAAACCCAACGTGTTTAAGGAGGCGTACAACAGTAAGCATCCGCAAATTGTTCACCGTTGCACTATATCGTCTCTAGAAAATGCTTTTTTTTTGCATTTTTGTTCGCAGAAATTCGGCACTGCATTATGCACGCAAGTTAGATGCCTCGTGGATGTCTAGAAAGCATTAGAAGTAAAATTGGTCTTGTTGTGTAATTGTGCCATTCCAGCAAGTGGCGTAGCCATGGTCGCCGGTCGGCCATTTTTGTGTATGAAACGGGATCCGACTACTCTGTAGAAATTCGCATCATAGAGCTAGCAAAAGTTTCGAGCGGAGCATAGAGCATGAATCTGTAGTTATTTAACATGAATAAAGTGTATGTTGTGTAAGCGCAGTAACAGTGTGAGTATTTTTAATTAATTTCTGTTCGATGCTTATTCAGGCCTGCCGCCTATGGACGCCCTCTACTGTTGTTCAACACCTTAAGCGAGCTGTTACAGCTAGAACAAAATCACAACAATTCTTTTACAGAAATCTGTCGAATCAAAAATAAAAATAACAAAACGAAATCAATTGTGCAATGAAAAATAATTTTATTGCATGAATTATAGCAATAGCAAATGACATCTTGCTGTTGGCATACAATAAAGGTAATTATATCTATAATTAATATTATTTATATTATATATATATATATATATATATATATATATATATATATAATATGTAGCCCTAGAGGAATAGTGTCTCTTCTTGTCAACTTGACTGTCGTCAATGATGGATGACGTCATCATTCATCCCACTCAGGGCCGTATAGCCAGAGGTAAATTTTGTAGGAGGCAAATGTTGTGAGTTCAAGAACAAGGAGCGAAGCGAGCCAATATAGGGCGTGAGGTATGGGGCCCGCTTAATATTTTTTGGAGAAATTTTGTAGGAGGCATTTGCCTCCTATTGCCTAATGGTAGCTACGGCCCTGATCTCACTACGTTAACCTCTTCTATGATCATGCGGGAAACGCTATCCCATCCAGTCAAACTGTCTCCGAGGGAATAATACAGACATGACCCGACACGCAGCTCGATCTGAACCTCTCCACGTGGCAACGCGTAGCAGATGCCTTCAACTGAAACGTAATGGCAATACTTTATCACCTATGTCGTCACGGGACATGCTGTGTGATGAAATAAAAAGTTCGGCGACATTTTTTCACCACTGGTGACCGCGTGGCAATTATTGGCAAAAATGACATCGCAACATTATTAACAATTGCCAACAGAATAGTTATCCGTACACATCTTATCTATCTATATCATTATCTATCACCCATCTTATATCATCGAACTATATTACATATATGTGTCTGTTACACCTTCAGTGCACGGCGGGATCTCGTGTTTGTTGGTGTTTGACGTTTTTATGGAAAATCTTACTCAGCAACGAAGAAAGTTGTGTTATGTGCATCTATTACAGAATTAGAGATTCGTATAGTAAAAATAAGTAGGTTAAAATAATATATAGGTATATCCTATTATTAGAAATATCACATTATGTCAAACTAACTTATCGTTATTTGCCGAGATTTGATTTTACCAGTGCATCTCTTTAAAATTTTTACGTGCGTGTACTGCAGAACTCACTCGTAGCTGGTCCGAATGAGTTTCCATCGCCTCCGCTGTACAGTTGCGCGTCTATCAAAGCTGGGATCAAGCACTCTGTTCCGTTAAAGGTGACGAACCAGCGGTTACACACCTGATCGCCCCTGTTGCGTAGGCTGCCTGACCATCTCACAAGCAGACCTGTCGTGTTGCTGAGCTTTGTTGCATTGCATTGCTGCCAAAATGAAATACGTATCGCTTTTATTGTAAATCCAAAAAGATTATTTTGGGGATGAGATTCATTTTAAATTGCAGCGTGTTTCTTATGAGACTTAGCAGTCATGGAAAAGGTATACCCAATGCAACATTTATATATATCAGGAGTGAATAATGATAAATTTGTCAAATTTTAATTTCAACTTGAGTTTGTCAAATTTGACAAATTTGTCATTATTCACCCTTGATATCGTATTCCTTAAGATATACCTAAGAATTAATTTAATTATCAATGAAGACAAAATATGCACTTCATGAACGCTTACATGTATAATTCCCATGTCAGTGTCATCGTTGGAACTGTCCCATGTGCACTGATATACTTTTCGTTCTACACATGATCCAGGAGGCCCTAAAGGACAAATGGGTAAAAATAAGAGGTCACTAATTCTTAACCGTCTTTTACTAACTGAGAAGAAAGACGGAGAAATTACAGCGATTTAAGTGTAAATGAAGACAATAAGTCCAACATCACCATATTCGCAAAGGCGCTGGCTGTCCCAAACCGAGAGCATGTGTGTGGATGAACTCAGCAATAATTAACCAGAAGGAAATCTCGTATGACATCACAAAAAGTATTCCGCCCGATTTTCTAATGTTTGGCCCGGCAATTAACTACGCCAGTATGAATTAGGCCTATAATATAACTAATAGCTAATCTTACCTACCACGTTATACAAACACGCTGGTACACGTGGATCTTACCATCGTATCCTTTTTCGCCATTTTCTCCGAGACATGCACCCGGGACACCGTCCCTGCCATCGCGGCCAGCAATGCCATCTCTGCCATCCCTACCATCCCTACAAGCTGTGCGACATGCCTGCAAGCCAGCATACCATTATATACATATATATTAATATAATTATGTATAAATATAAGTATATCTGTGCCGAGAATATTTAGAAGTGACGAAGCTAACTCCTATAATTCTATTTTGGCGTGACTTGAAGTCGAAAAACGCGTGCTCTGACCGCAGCAGTGCACGTACGTACGTGTAGCTATCATAATTACCTCACAGTTGGGTTCGGTAGGTATCTCTTCATTTGCCATCAAATATGTCGGAACGCAGAATATCAGAAATATGTAGATTGCTCGTGCCATCATATTTAACGCAGTCGTGGGTAAAATAGACGATCTACTCTTTCTTCGTGGTGTGTAGTGGTGTCATCATAAACGTAAACACGTAGTAATGTTCTTATCTAGCATGACCTTTGGCGTATGTAAACACCTACAGGCACCAACAAAAAAATACATTGATAATCTGCAGAAATAAGTAAATCTACGAACATGCCTACGTTGCTCTTTGCATGTTCTATTCTGGTCTTTACAAATTGTGGCCTGGGATAAAATTTTGATGAATTCCACCGCGCGAGCTCGTATATACGTGTGTATGTGAGTGTGTGCGTGGGAGCGTGCGTGCGTGCGTGGGTGAGTGTGCGTGCGTGCGTGCGTGCGTGAGTAGCGTACGTACGTACGCAAAGTCTCGGTCTCACACACACAGATTCAGTACAAGATTCACAAAATCTGTACGACATCAGTGTTGAGCACACACATACATACATACAACGACGCCCCCTCCCCCTCCATTCCCCTCCCCTGCCTCTTCCTCTCCCTCCATTCCCCTCCCTTGCCTCTTCCTCTCCCTCCATTCCCCTTCCCTGCCTCTTCCTCCATTCCCTTCCCTGCCTCTTCCTCTCCCTCCATTCCCCCCCTTGCCTCTTCCTCTCTCTCCATTCCCCTCCCCTGCCTCTTCCTCCCCCTCCATTCCCCTCCCCTGCCTTCCTCACCCTGTCTCTTCCTCCCTTTTCCTCCCCCTCCCTCCCCCTCCGCTGCCTCCCTCCCCTGTCTCTTCCTCCCTCTTTCTCAACCTCCCCCTTGCTTCCCCTTGCTCCATCCCTCTCTCTCGGCCGCCACCCGTGGACCACCCGGGCTGCTACTGGCTTCTCCAGCAATGAATCGACGCTGCTAACATCACCGTCTATCCTCATCTCCCCGGCTGTAAGCGGCAGCGCATCGTGAACGTATGCTTTCCCTCTCACTGGCGCCGCTGCCACGTAATGCCTCTATATGCTCGGCGCGGCGTCTGAATCTAGTCTAATAAGCATGTCATAGGAACCACGCCTTAATACATAACTAGCCGTACGTATATATATATATATATATATATATACTATAATATATATGTATATATAATATATATATATATGTGTGTGTGTGTGTGTGTGTGTGTGTGTGTGCCGTGCGTGCGTGCGTGCGCTGTGCGTGCGTGACTGTGTGCGTGCTGTGTGGTGCGTGTGTGCGATGGTCCGTGCCTGTGCGCCGCGCGTGCCGCGCTGTGTGTGTGTGTGCCTGTGCTAAGCATGCGTCGTGGGACGTGCAGTGTGCAGCCGCCCTGTGCGTGGCTGTTGTGCGTCTGCGCGCGCGCGTGCGTGTGGTGCGTATGTGTGTGCCGTGCGGGCCGTGTGTGCTGTGCGCTGCGCGCGTGCGTGGTGCGCTGTTGTCGTGCTGCGCGTGCCGCGTGCGTGTGTCGTGGTTGGTGTGCGTGTGCGTGTGCGTGTGCCGCTGGTGCGTCGTGCGTGTCCGAGATTTGGTGTCGCGTGTGCTGTGCTTGTGTGTGTGTGTGATGTGTGTGTCGGTGTGTGTGTGCGTGTGTAGGTGTGTGTGCGTGTGTGTCGCTGTTGTGTGCTTTGTGTGTGTGCGCTAACCAGACGATAGACTGCCGTGTTGAAAACGATGGCCACGTGCAACGATGTGATGGGGGCCGAATAGTGTGTTAATTAGGCCTATCTTTACACAAGCAACACGATCCATGATGTAGCAGGCGATGATGATGCATGCTGATTATTCAATAATCCGTGATAAGACGTTATAGGCCCACAGTGCCAGCATCCTGGATGATAACTGTTGATGCTCGTCATCCAATTAGATGATAATAATATGCCTACTATACTCATAATTGCAAGAATTTTTTATGCCTTACATGTGTTTCTATCTAACAGAATCGCCGGATATTTTATCCCATAAATCTATAATGAGCGATGGCCTGTCACTACCACCCACCATACACCGCACCCTAACCCCAGCCTAGGACAGGGGATCTGACCTTGCGTCTGACCACCCCCACCTACACCGACACCTAACCTCCAGCCTAAGCTACCTGTCCACTGACCATACCACCGTACACCGCACCCTACACCTCCAGCTAGCTGACCTGTCACTGACCACCCCACACCTACACCGCCACGCCTAAACCTCCAGCTAGCCTGAACCTGACACTGACACCCCTCCCACCTACACCGCACACCTAACCACCAGCCCTAGCTAACCTGTCACTGACCATAACCACCTACACGCCGCACCCTAACCTCCAGCCTAGCTGACTCGCTGACACTGACCATGCCTCCCACCTACACGCACCCTTAACTCTCCAGCCTAGCTGACCTGCTAACTCACCACCCCACCTACACGCCACCTAGACCTCCAGCCTAAGCTGAACACCTCATGACTGACCACCTCATATACACAGCGCATCCTAACCTCCAGCCTAGCTGACATGTGTGACTCACCACCCCACTTACACCGACACCCTAACCTCCAGCCTAGCTGCACCTGCGTGACTGAACCACCCCACCTACACCGCACCCTAACCTCACAGCCTAGGCTGATCTGTGGCTCTGACCACCCCACCTTACACCGCACGCCTAACCTCCAGCCTAGCTGACCTCGTGATCTGGACCACCCCACCTACACCGCACCCTAAACACTCCAGCCAGCTGACCTGTGACTGCACCACCCCACCTACACCGCACCCTAACCTCCAGCCAGCTAACCTCGGTGTCTGACCACCCCAACCTACACCGCCACCTAACACTCCAGCCTAGCTGACCTGCTGTCTGACCACCTTCAGATACACCGCCATCCCTACCACCAGCCATAGCTGACCTGTGACTGACCACCCTCCCACCTAAACAACCGCACCCTAACCACCAGCCTAGCTGACCCTGTATCTGGACCACGCCCACCTACACCGCACCCTAACCTCCAGGCCTAGCTGACCTGTTACTGACCCATACACCTACACCGCCAACCCTAACCTCCAGCCTAGCCCTGACCTGTTACTGACCATACCACCCTACACGCACCCTAACCACCAGCCTAGTCTGACCTGTTACTGACCATTACCACCTACACGCACCCTAACTCCAAGCCTAAGCTGGACCTGTTACTGACCATACACCTACACCGCACACGCTAACCTCCAGCCTAGCCTGACCTGTACTGACCATACCACCTACACCGCCACCCTAACCCTCCAGCCTACTGACCTGTTACTGGACCATACCACCTACACGCATTCCTAACTCCAGGCCTAGCCACTGACCGTGACTGACCACCCCATATTACACCGCACCCTAACCTCCAGCCTAGCTGACCTGTGACTGACCACCCCACCTACACCGCATCCTTATTTTCGCATAAATCTATAATAGCGATGACCTGTGTCTGACCACCCCATCTACACCGCATCCTTATTTTCGCATAAATCTATAATAGCGATGACCTGTGTCTGACCGCGCTGCCTGCATCGGTCCCCTCGTTGGGACAGTTGCTGTGAATTTTCTGTGTTGCTGCTGCAGTGAAGCCGATACTAGCTAATAACGGGACAGCGTGCGCTGCATGCTCCTATATACATATAGCAGACTCCCATAGCGCGAGTCCTGCTCTATTAACTCTAACCTGATGAAAACTACCATAAACATATACAATATACAACATACAGAGTTACTGCGTAGGCACGTATGTATGTATCTTAGTGTAATATAGTGTAGTATAGTATAGCATAGCATAGCACAGCATAGCATAGTATAGCATAGTATAGTAGATCTGCACGCTTCGGACGGGGATTTTCTAGCTGGTGGGGGCGGGCGGGCACAGTCACGCTGTACTACGAATGTCAACATCAGCATAGTGACAGCTGTCGTGTGTGTCGGGAGCCATACTATGTGCCTCCCCCCGTCCCGCCGTGTCTGACACGATCACTGTTTATCACAACACGTCGAATGCGTTGTAATCCGAATAATAATCAAATATTTACTATTAACTAACATATGGCACGTGCGCGCGCGTGTACGTGCGTGCGCGTGTACGTGCGCATGCATGGATACGTTCGTGCGTGCGTGTGTGACTGGGAGCATGCATGTGTGCGCACGTGCGTGCATGCTTGAATTGGTGAGTGAGTGAGTGAGTGCGTGAGTGAGTGCGTGAGTGCGTGCGTGCGTGCGTGCGGGCAGGCGTGCGTGTATAAAAGCGGTCCCGGTTTCATGCGTCATCTACGATAATAAATGTGCGTACATCTCTAAAACATTCTTGAAGTTACATTCTACAAGTCACATTTTTCAACTTCTTTCAATTAACACGTGCATGCATGTGAATAAAAAAATCATAATTGCCGTTCTGTTAAATGTTAAATGCGGTCACGAGTTTTTTTGTCGTCTGGCGACGGAAACCACGTGACACTGTCTTTCACGTTGATAGGTTGCAGTGTCCCGCCACGCGCCCGGCTGTCGTCTGCTGTTATACGAGCAGTCGGCCAGCTACGGCATCGCTGCAGGGAGGGGTGTTAGCTTTCCTCTAGCTCTCCTTCTGCCTCGCTCCTCCTCCTGCTCCTCGCTTCCTCCTCCTCTCCTTATTCCTCGCCTCCTCGTCTCCTCCTCCTCCTGTCTCTCTCTCTTCTTCTTCTTTCTTTATTCTCCCAATATTTCTTACTCCTTCTATCTCGCTCCTTCTCGCCTTCCTCCTCCTGCTATCTGCTTCCTCTTTCTCGTGCTCCTTCTTCTCCTGGCTCATCTTCTCGTTCCTCTCTCCTCTTCTCCTCTTTTGTATTGCCTATTCTCTTCATAACTTGCTCATCTTCTCCCTCTAATTTTTAGTTCTTCCTCCTTTCATTTTTCTTTGTCCTCCTGTAACTTTTCCAATTCGACCTGGCCTTTATTCTGTTCTTCCTCTTCCTTCTTCAACGCAACCTCCATCTCTTTTCTCCTACAGGAGAACTCTTCCTTCTCTATTTCTTTCCATTCTCTCCATTAACCCTTTCTCTTTCCTTA